ATGACGGTTTATGCCTCTCCGAGGGTTGCAACTACTGGTGTAAATGTCAAGCATGCTACTCAGGAGACCAATGTCAGAACTGTAAGCTACCAATATATTAGTACTAGTATGATATTGTATAAATTACGAGTCAGGTTAACATTTTGAACTTACTAGCTACCTTTCACTGTAACCTAAAAACCCTTTGCTGTAACTATTACTGTCTGTGTTACTCATGTTACTCTGGAAAAAAAATCAATGTAGGCTTACAGAATGTTAAAAAAAATGCATTTTAACTTATCAGTAATGGAAATACTTAGCTGTAGAAGAAGTTCCAAAAAATGAGTACTACCAATGATTTAATCTGGAAAAAATGGCTAACATTTTTATAACCAGTTAAAACTCGAATTAGCATATCTTTAAAGTTAATGTTAAAGTGTGTCTTCACATCATTACAAAACACTGCCAGCTGCAAAACCTTAGTACATCTGATGTATACCTACGTTGCAATTTTATATTCATTTTCTAAAAGAATTAACATACATTTTTTCTTATCAATAATAAGTGTATAATGGGTATATGCGTGACATTGCCTACTTGGTATTCAGGGAAAAAACGTGTAAAAATTGTACGACGTTAATTAAGTTATAGTAGTTGATTTTCTAATATTAATCAAAAATATTTTCATCTCAGACAATAATCCTTGTAATGGTGATTACTGCAACTGTCTCTTATACACATCTAGATGTGTATAAGAGACAGTATTTATATATACCACAATTAAGTTTCTTTGGACTTTTTTATCGTTTAAATATAATATTTTAATTATAATACATTATTATATTGTACTTAATAGGAAAGATCGCTTCCTTCCTACTTTAATTATTTTTAAAATTATTATTATTATTAATATTAATAATATTTTATTGCAGACAGTAGCCCCTGTGATAATAACTCTTGTGGTGCTTATGGTACATGTGTTGCAAACGGATGCGATTTTCAGTGTATCTGTCAACCTTGCTATACTGGAAGCTTATGTAAAACCTGTATGTATTACAACGCAATCTTACGTTCATTATAATAATTAGTTATTAATATCAGACCATATATTCAGATATTTGCCAAGTAGTTATTTACCTTAATTTCCACCATGTATGGGTCTTGTTTCCACCAATACCTAACCAATCAACATTTTTCAATAGAATAATTTGGCCTATTGATAAAGACTGGTATTGGTAATGATTAATATGCTAATCATTCACTAAATTGTTGTTTAAAATTTTCTATAGACTAATAATCGTTATTCGCTGGTTCAATTTAGAAGATTTTCTTTACGCCACTGAGTTTTACCTTTCTTCTCTAAATAATAATTATAATAACTTTATTTTTGACTAGATAACAATCCATGTGATGGAGTTTCTTGCAACGGAGGTCGCTGTGTTGAAATATCTACTGCAGTTGCATGCTCGTACCAATGCGTAGACTGTCCACTATACTTTTCAGGAAACGATTGTGACGAATGTAAGCATACAAGAAATTATAAACAGTTCAGATCTTTAAGTTAGTCGCGCTATAAATAAAATTGCCAAACTCATTTTATGGGTACACAAAGACGTAAAATATCTGCACTTGATAAATAACATCAAATATTATTGAAATTCTTTTTATATATACCTAAATAACAACTTTCCATGTTTTTGCCTCACACCTTTGTTTCAGTCATAGATCCATGTGAAACTTGGGACTGTAAGAATAATGGAGAATGCTACCTGATCCCTGTCACTGGACCTAGTTGTCAATGCCATGGTGATTGCTACTCTGGCCAATACTGTGAAATATGTGAGTCGCAAAATTTCTTACCATATATCATTGTTAAGCTGGAGACTAAAGTGGACGGCCAATATCCAACAAGCATCATCACTATAGGTGATAAGCATAGGTAACACGGATGTTTTTAAATACCTAGGAGTGTAGATGGACTTCAACAATATCTATGTAGGTGAAAGGAAATAGAACAGAGGATTGCCAGCGCATGGATAGCATTTTCAGAAAACAAATCACTTCTAAAAAATAGAAACATTGAGTAAATTTCTTGAATGCCCTTGTCCGATCCAGGCTTATATATGGCTGCCATGCCTGGCGACCTACGCAACCTGAACTCGGTAGAATTAACACAACTTATAGGATACCGGTACTTATACGGAATATGATTTACAATGGGTTCAAAAGAAAACACAAACAACTAAAAGAAAATAATGTATCGAATAAATTCCAACTCAACTTGATTATGCTAAAATGTTGACCATTTTTCTTTAATTTTGTGATACACGTTTAGATGATAATCCATGTGATCCTTCACCTTGCAAATATGACGGTTTATGCCTCTCCGAGGGTTGCAACTACTGGTGTAAATGTCAAGCATGCTACTCAGGAGACCAATGTCAGAACTGTAAGCTACCAATATATTAGTACTAGTATGATATTGTATAAATTACGAGTCAGGTTAACATTTTGAACTTACTAGCTACCTTTCACTGAAACCTAAAAACCCTTTGCTGTAACTATTACTGTCTGTGTTACTCATGTTACTCTGGAAAAAAAATCAATGTAGGCTTACAGAATGTTAAAAAAAATGCATTTTAACTTATCAGTAATGGAAATACTTAGCTGTAGAAGAAGTTCCAAAAAATGAGTACTACCAATGATTTAATCTGGAAAAAATGGCTAACATTTTTATAACCAGTTAAAACTCGAATTAGCATATCTTTAAAGTTAATGTTAAAGTGTGTCTTCACATCATTACAAAACACTGCCAGCTGCAAAACCTTAGTACATCTGATTTATACCTACGTTGCAATTTTATATTCATTTTCTAAAAGAATTAACATACATTTTTTCTTATCAATAATAAGTGTATAATGGGTATATGCGTGACATTGCCTACTTGGTATTCAGGGAAAAAACGTGTAAAAATTGTACGACGTTAATTAAGTTATAGTAGTTGATTTTCTAATATTAATCAAAAATATTTTCATCTCAGACAATAATCCTTGTAATGGTGATTACTGCAACGGGGGAACATGTACCGAAGTGTCAACAACAGATGTATGCACCTACGAATGTGCATGCCGATCGTGTTATTCCGGAAACAACTGCGAGACATGTAAGAAATTAAGATGTATAAAGATAATAATATACATAATTATAGATATATACCTGTACACGTATGGAGCTTTCGTAGATATGACTTATGAATTATACATGTATCTCCATACC